TTCATAGTTCGTTCGACAATTTTGAAGTGGCTATTGAATCATGAGTTGTCTTATCTATTAAGTTATACTCGGATTGACTTTATAGTTTCATTCTTACTGATTCTCGAGATATCTTGTCGATATAAAAGCCAACTCAAGTTGTCTCTCGAGCTTTTACATTCTGTAGTGACTTACCATCGAGATTGTAAGAGCTTAGTGTGAGATCTCACGTCGATTGGAGAGGAGAATGAGTTCTATCGAGTATGCTGGCTGTGGAAGGGGGTGGATGCTCAAACATCTCCCTAACCCTAACGGTCGCGTTTTAAAATCTCGAGAGAATGTTAAAATAAGATAATATCTACGTATAAATTTAATGGTTAATTAAAATAAATATATATTTTTATGAAGTAAAATTAAAAATTAAATTATTAATTCCTTAAAAGTTGGGATAGAAAATATTTGAAAGTAATTACTAAAATTTTAAATTTAGATTTTCATTTGAATATAGCATAGATTATTCTTTACGGCGACCCCGAGAGATGCGGCGGCGCGTATCTGAATGTTGTCCAATCCTCCATTCCGGCCGGCGGCTGCACGGAACTTTGCGCCAAAACTAACACCGTCTCTGTGGTATTCTGTCAACGATTCTTCTTCTTCCTCTTTGTTTACTTTTCTTTGTCACTGATTTCGGTTCGTATCCCTCGCGAAGAGGAAGCTTGACAGTGCTGATTTCTTTTGGTTTCCGATGGACTTCCTGTTCTGAGATTTTTAATTTCAACCGATGACTACGAGAATCTGAGATTTTTTTTGCTGATGATCTTCTTCCACAGATTCGTAATGGAATTTTAATTTCGGTTGGCGCTTGAAAACCCTAGATCCGAATATCGACTCCGTAAGCATTTATTTCGATTATAGCATAGGAGAAATCCGAGGCAGGGCGACCTCTTTTGATCTCTATTCTATTTTTTGTATAATTATTATTTTTTTGCAGGGTTTGTGCGTTTGCGAACTTGATGGATTCAAGTATTGCTATTGGCATCGTAATTCTCAGAATCAACTTGATTTTGAGTCGTGTCCTTTATGTTTTATATTGGAGTGGTAGACCCCTTCCAAACAAAAGCTTGGGATCTGTCAGTACCCTCATTGTCTTAGGCTCAGGTGAGACAGTCATCAATTCCATTTGAGTTTTAGATTGAAGAATGTAATTGCACTGATCGTTGGATATGTAGTGTAGGGGGTCACACGGCCGAAATGCTCAATGTGTTGTCTGTGCTGCAGAAAGACTTGTTTTCTCCAAGATTCTACATTGCTGCTGCTGCTACCGATTACATGAGTCTTCAAAAAGCTCGCACATATGAACATCAACTGGCTCATAAGGTACGTTATCAGGGTCTTCAAACTTCTCTTATTTTTCTGAATCAGGAAACGAGGGAGGGGATAGTATGGCCTATGGGTAGAGGTCCCCTATTTTCAATTGGGGGAGAATCGTAAGTTTCTTGCAGATTCAGTCCACAAACTTGAATGGATTCAATTGGGATTCTCTTGCATTCGTTCGAATTGGACCTATAGGAACTTTTAGAAGATTAGTAATGGATTCTATAGGAACTTTGTGAATTTGTAGTAGGGGTCGCATCCAAGCTTGAGTTTAGTAGTTTTCTTCAGATAGTAACCTATCTCCACTTTTTATCAGCTCCCAGTAAACAACCCCTAGAACTTTGGATTGATGAAATCTTGATTTAATGTCCTCACTGTCTAGATTTAATGTCCTCCCTGTCTTCCTTTATGCTGGCATAGGGTAATTTGGACCATATTTTTTGTCACATCTTTCTTTAAGTTCATTTTGAGTTCATTTTGCATGATTAAGATGATTTGGATCGTATCAATATCCAACCTATTATTTGAATTGGAATCTAGCTTAACTTGTGGCTATGACAGCAAGAATGGCGATAAACATAATATCGTTAAAAGCGACAACAATACAGTTGACTCTTGAGTTTTCGTGCATAGGAGTAACATTATGCAGAAAAACCAATGAATTAAAAGGAAACAGAAACAATTCATTTCATTGATAAAATGAAATTACAGAAAAAAATAGACATTTATATCTAGATATCTAGATGATTATTAAAAAACTATTGCTTAAAGGGATAAGTTACAAAAAGGGCTCAATATCCACGTATTTTCAACGACAAAGAACAAGATTCTCAAGCTCTCTTCCCATTCAATACTTTTCTTTCTCTATCATGGTGGATATTGAGCCATTTTTGTAATTATAGCCTATCCCCTTCTAAGCTCATTGGAATAGTTTTTTCTAATAATCATCTAGATAGAAATGTATATTTTTTTTGTAATTTCATTTTATCAATGAAATGAATTGTTTCCTTTTCTATTAAGAAAAACGGTTGCGTTTCCTTTTAATTCATTGGTTTTTTGTGTTTCCTTTGTTTTCTTGCACAATGTTACTCCTATTCATGAAAACTCAAGAGTCAACTGTGTTGATCTCGCTATCAACAATATTATGTTTATCGCCGTTCTCGCTGCCATAGCCACAAGTTAAGCTAGATTTCCATTCAAATAATATGTTGGATATTGATATGATCCTAGTCATCTTAATCATGCAAAATGAACTTCAAGAAAGATGTGACGAAAATGTTGTTCAAATTACCATATGCCACATTAAGGAAGAATCAAGATTCATTTATTCTTGGATGGTTACAAATTTTGGGTGGATTATAATCTAGAGTTACGACATTTCATTAATTTACTTTAAGATTTTTTTATTTATTTCAAAGTTACATTTACATAGTGCCTGATTACGGTCATAAATTATGAAAGCTACAACTCTTGAAATGCCCCATGGAAGACTAAATGTTTTCTTTTGTAAAGTAGGCTTGAAAATGTAGTAAAAAGAACATGTATGCTTTCTTCTAGCCAAGGGCTAAGTTTCTTTGTAATTGTAATGCTTAGAATCATTCAAGCTTGACTTGATCATCAATCTTACTTGTGGAGTGATTCGAATCTCAAAGAAGTTTTCTTGCCTTGAGATAGTCAATCAACAAGGTAATCGTGATCTTACTTTCCCTTGGGATAATTTTTCATTGTTTTGAGGTTCTTGGATATTTCAATCTATCTTATAATTCAATAAGGTTGTTAGATAAAAATCCCAAGAGCTGCAATCACTTGAAATGAAATCAACTTGATTAGGAGGTTTTAGCACTTATGAACTACAGTTTTGCATATCCAAAACGTTTAGGAGGGTTCTTACATTCAACTGGCTAGTGTTTCCATATGAGATATTCTGTTTCATTCAAATAAATTAGAAGAGTTGCTCACTCTCACTTTGTTTACAAGTTTTCCTGTGATGTCCCACATTGGTTGAAGAGGAGAACAAACCACCATTTATAAAGGTGTGGAAACCTTCCCTTAGCAGACGCGTTTTAAAGCCTTAAGTGGGAAGCCAGAAAGGGAAAGCCCAAAGAGGACAATATCTACTAGTGGTGGATCTGGACCGTTTGTTTGTGAAATGGGTGCTTGTAGCAGACTGGGGCTGAGGGAGACAAGATCGCACAGTTCCTGCAACAACTTCAATTGCCACACTCAACGCACTCTGGCTAATGCTTAAAATTAGACCTCAAGTGGTAATATGACCTCTTTTGCTTAAGGTCTAGGTGTTTTTTTTCCTTCTTTTTCTGAACCAATCGTTTTGCTGCAGATTCTCTGCAATGGCCATGGTACAATTGTATCCCATTATGCGCAATTGCATTCATATTCAAGGTTCAAAAAAGTGCATCGAACAACATTCTTTTGCATTTTCCAGTTCCAAGTTTATAATATCGTAGAGAATGAACACTAGAATCTGAATGCAGGTTGTGGGGATTAGATGGTCATCAATTTTTTATGTGGAAAGCATTGCAAGAGTGAAGAGATCATCATTGACTGGGTACATTTTATACAAGTTACACATGGCTGATCAGTTCTTTGTGCAATGGCCACAACTACACAAAATATCCCCACGCTCACTGCGTTGGTTGTCTCGTGTAGTTGATGATCAAAAACCATACAGGTAAGCATAATTTATGGTTACTGCACCTTAAATTTGGTCTGAATTTGTCATGCAGCTTTGAAAAGTAACTTGAAGGGGAAAAAAATCGAAGTTTCTGACGCCATAACAGCAGTTTTGCCCTGTTTTAGATACATTTTTCAACCTGCATAGCAAATCCTCTTCCTGTTGTATTTATAATTTATAATGTTGAAGATTATTGAGAGTGAGTCCCACCTTGGTTAATTTCCTGGTGAATTTTCATGAACTTTTTTTTTATAAGTGAGGAATACTATCTTCATTGGTACGAGGTCTTTTGGGGAAGCTCAGAACAAAGCCATGAGAGCTTATACTCAAAGTGAACAATATCATACCATTGTTGAAAGTCATGATTGCTAATACATAAAGCTGGCGGTACATTGCATGTTGGGTTTATTGATAACTTAAACGACACCAGATAGATAGTTCTGAACTAATTAAGATATATATTATTGACTCAAAAGTTAAAGATTTTAAAGGTTTAAATCTCCATGTCCTCTGTGTTATTGAATTTAAAAAGCTTATAAATATTTCATTGGTTGGGGAATCTCTCTATAAATTTTTTTTTTTTTTGAAAAATATTAAAATATATAAATTATTTAAATCAATAAAAATGATAATAGGTTCTAATAAATCAATAAAAATGATAAGAGCCTTTTAAATAATGAATAATTTTTTATAATATAGTTTTAAACAAAAAAAATAAACTACAACACCAATAACACACCAAAAAAAATCAAAATAAATAAAATGCCCATCCAACCTTTCTTTAAGTACATTTGTCCAAAACGTTTCAATATGGCTAAAGAATCTAACGTTCAACCTATTTTTATAAGTATCCCTCATTCAAAAGCTAGACGATGTTGCAAAATGTACATCATATGAACACGGGTCGAGGCATAACCCGTGCTCGTGCATCGTGATAAAAAGAATACAACCAAAGTTTCCATTTTAAATATCAGATTGTCGAGAATCCTCCCCATCGAAGAAAAAATGGCAATTCTCAACCGAACGTCCACAAAAGTACAATACTAATGATTTAGCTTCATTCTGTCTATCTCAGCTCATTTCCCAGCATAATCATAGAACACAGAAAAAAAAAGAAAATAGTTCTAACCAGAAACCATGATATTTCTGAATTTCCCAAGAAATCGGGCTCAGGACCTATTATTCAGAATGTACAGTTCATAAAAAAAAAAAAAACAAAATTCTTTCATCATTTTCTTGGCAGATCATAAAAAGGCAGGTTCTTGGATTCAGAACACGACTATCATCTCAAAGCAGGTTCAACAACTTGTTGGGAGGATGTTCTTATTTTCCTATGACACCAAAGCATTCAAATTACAGCACTAAACCACCAAACATAAAGAAAATGATACTAGAAATTTTCTGGGTTAAAAATCATGAATTGAATTCACTAAAAGATTCAAAATCTATGAGCTAGAACCATCATCCTAAAAAAGAGGAAAAGATTAAACCTCAAGATACAATTTGACCTCCATAAGACCTCACTAAGGTGTTATCTCCCGTGGTAACGTTAAGAGGATGGAATATACATGATAACACTGGACACACTTTAATTTCTTTATGAGGTTAAGAACTAAATGAAGGAAAGTCAATTTTACCTTTTTCATTTCTGTACCAATGGCTATCGAAAGAAATGTGTAGAACTCACTTCAAGTCCAGAAAGAACGACCCAAATGAATTGAGCAAATTCAAGCAACTCTAGAACATAAAGGCTTGAGAATGAAGGGCTTCCAAAATAATGGTCAATCTCGAACAGGGGTTTCTTCTTTCATTTCCCTGTTAACTGATTGACCTCCATCATCCTCATCAATGGCGGTCTTTCTAGTTTCTTGGTCGGCCGTCTTCACCGGCAGTTGCCGATCAGAGCCAATCTTGTCCTCACCTTCCTTGGCGTCTGGACTCTTCTTCATTGAATCTTTGTTCTGCGCTAAATCACAGAAAAAATCCGTCAAAACCTTCTCATAACCCGGCATTTTTGCATACCCAGGGAAATAGTTAATGTCAATTATAAGATACCGAGTCCCAATTTTTGAGTCCCGAATCACGTCGAAGTTAAAAAGATTCAAGTTCAGGGAGCGCCGCAACCCTCTAGCAATGTCAGTGACGAAGCTCAACGGTGGCATCTCTGTATCGTCAAGCTGCATCATCTTGTAGAACTTATCGTTAATTTTCTCACGAGGGGTCAAATTCGAGACCTGCGAAAATGATAACAATCCTTCTACATTTCCCAATTTCGCTTCCGGTTCATCAGGCAGAGATTTCCTCTTCACACATTTCACATATTGCCCAACAACGTAAACCTTAAAGATAATCCCTCCATGATTTACGAACTCCTGCAAGACTATCGGAGGCTTAAGCTTGTTCAAACAATCATGGTTGAAAACGAGCGCCATTTTGTGAGATTTGGCGCTGCCATCAGCCACCAACGGCTTGGCAATGACTGGGAACTTCAAACCCTCGCAAGCCTGCCGATCAAACAAAGTTTCCTTATCGTAAATCACAATCTGCTTGGGGATCCCAAACGATTCATTGGCGTTATCAATCTTCAACTCGGAAACCACTTGAAGCATGGAAATCCGGTTATGAAGTCTCTCAATCGAGTCCGGTGAGTCCAAAATCAAGGCATTAGGGTTCTTTACTCTAAACTCAATCAGCTGCTTCCTCCAATCCTCACCGTAATACTTGTGAAGAATGCAATCAAATGGCCCTTGATCAAGAAGTGGCCGGTCAGTGTCGATTCGAACAAGATCAATCCCTCGAGACGCCGCGAGGCTGACTAATGAGTCTTGGATGAAGCTCTGTTGCTTCTTGGGAGCCAAAGCATACCCTATACAGAACCTACGTTCCGCCATTGATACACTACAAAAATTACACTAAGAACTAGAACCAAAAAGCACGACACTCATCAAAACAAGAACAAAGAACTCGCATAAACAAGATTCACATTCACCAGAACACCGAAATTTGAACCCCGAGGAAGATCTCGGAACCTTTGAAGAACTAGGGTTTCGTTTCTTCTAGGGTTCTTGAAAGAAAACGAAAAATTGAAAAGCTTTGAAACAGAAGAAATGAGTAATTTTAAAAATTAATCTCCAAATATTTTGATTTGAAACCAGTTTTTTTTTTTTTTTTCATGTGAAAAGACGACTTTACCCTTTCTTATTTAAATTTGGAGGTAGGTCCAAATTGAATAGGCAAAATTCTTTCTTCCCTCTCACCCATTTCTTACTCTATCAACGTTATTCTCGTTCAATTTCTTGTTCGATCATCATTATTCTCGTTCGATTTCTTGCTCGATCGACTTTATTTTCATTCAATTTCTTGCTCAATCAACGTTATTCTCGTTTGATTCCTTGCTCGATTAACATCATTTTTGTTCGATTTCTTACTCAATAAGCATCTTCTTTCTTGGTCTTGATCTGGTTAGAGGGGAAGAATTGGAAAAAAGACAAAAAAGGGTAGGAAGTGACCGGGGGCTAGGATTAGGGTTTTGTCTTTTTTCTCGATCTTGGTCGGGATTGGACTAGAAAAAAGACGTTTTTTCTTTTTTAAGAATATGTTTTAATTCTATTTTTTTTAATAATTTGCACCGTTTAACATTATTTTTCATTCATAAACAAGGTAGGTATCACAGTGTCGTTGGTTACAAACATCTCTACCTATGATCACTTTCCTACGAAGAAATTGACTCGGACCCAATTACTCATGTTTAGACAAACATGTTTTGGTCCTCTTCTAGAAACAAACATAATGTTCAATAGACCATTAATGCAATATATTCTTCGTAGAGAAGTGAATGAGAGTACGATGCACGTGATTCGTTTGAATCTTTTGGGACAAAAATGTCATTTAGTCCGAGCGAGTATAACCTCATTGCTAGACTTGGACTTATATATGGAAGGAGCGATGTTTGTCGTGTTATACTTAGAGCTAAGTATTTGAACACTAACGAATATATGAAGGGATTTGAATTGGCTTGCAATGATCGACAAGAGAATACAAGAAATGGATTATACCCTACTCAGTATCAGTGATGGTTCAAATAGAAAGCAACAAACATACCATCTTTATGGTTACCCGCACACTTTCTATGAGATCCTACACGAAGCATTTTTATAGTGTGTGAAAACCTCTCCCTATCGTACGCGTTTTATAACTGTAAGGCTGACAATACGTAACGGACCAAAGCGGACAATATCAATTGCATGCTTCATTTCTCGAGCTCATCTTCATTATTCATACACTTTTTTTTATGTTATTATTTTAATTTGATGTTTTCTTAACATATAATAATATAAAACCTGATTAATATTAACTTTTGCTTAATTCAAAAGTGAGTTGGTGAACCACATAAAAGAATACAAAGAAAGCTAAGAGTATTCAGTTCATTCCACACCATCAACTTCTTCCTTCCTGTGTTTCCTATCTATCTAAGCCTTTTGACTCTTTTGTTTCTGTGAGAGCTCTCTGGAGTTCGGCTATCGGACTTGCGTTTAACCCCGCCTTGTTTCGGGGCTGCAACGCCATTTCTCGATGCATTTGCCACAGCCTTTCGGTTGGCAACGGCTGGTCTCTTCCCCTTCCTTTCACTCATCTTCTCCGGTCTTTTCCCCTTCCTTTCACTCGTCCTCTCCGGGAAATCCTCCGGTCTTCTCCTCTTGTGAGCTACTCGCTTCTCCTTACTGTTGGAATGTGATTTTGTCCATTTCGTGCCACTGCCTTTTGCTTGGTTCTTCTTCTGGGAACCGGGTTTGCTCGCACGCAGGCCCTGGTAGGATGCAACCGTAGCTTTTGGGGTTACCCTCTTGCTGCTGTCTGGTGTCCTTAAACCTGAATCCACAGCCCTTTTCTTTGCTGAGCGATCGACTTCAGTAGATGGGTTATTACGTTTCTTGAGCGGGGTCGATGTCAAGTTTGGTTTGGCATGAAAAAGCCTCAGTGCTCGATCACGCAACTGTAGTTTTTGATTGTTAATTACTGAATTTGCTGCTTCCTGCACAGACATAGAAGCAATGCATTGTTCTTAGATTGAAATTGAAAGAAAAAGATGTAAACCAATTGGAAAACATGCAGTTGTCTTCAAGACTAGAGGTGACAAAAACAATCAGGGAAGATAGAGAGAAAAATAAGTTAACAGATATCTAGCTTTATTTACTAACTGCTACCGAGTGTTTCGGTAGCCAGGGTTCGAGATGATTAGAAATACGAACAAGGTTTTAATTTAACTAAATCTGAAGGTTAGAACTTAATAACTCAAAGTCATTGTTGAGCTGAACTTGAAGTGTAGTAGCCCAAGTCCACTGCTAACAAATATTTTCTGCTTTGGCCCGTTACACATCACTGTCAGCCTCACGGTTTTAAAACGCGTTTGTTAGGGAAAGGTTTCCACACCCTTATAAGGAATGCTTCGTTCTCCTCTCCAACCGGTGGAGGATCGCATCCTTACTACTAGTATTAGTTAGTCATGATTCATGAACATGATGCAAAAAGTGGGGGTGTAAAGTGGATGAAGCCTCCCCATAGCCAGTCGGAATCCACCATGAGCTTGATGCAAGAGATGAGGCCTCAGGTACCCGGTTATAAAAAAGCATAATAAAAATACCAGGTTCCTCAACCAAACGAACGGAATTTACAACCTCGTCTACTAGATCCAGACAGACAGGAAAGTGCGCGCACACGATATCGATACACCTATACAGCATACTCGTGTGTGCGCAAACATGTAATTTAAACCATATATTAGTAAAAAGTGAAGAAAATGAGAGAAAACCAATGAGCTTACAGATCTATCTAAATGAATGAACATTAATATCAAAAAAGCCGATCGTACCTTCGTTTTAAAGAAGACATACGCAAAACCCTTCCCTATGTTCACATTAGGATCTCTGATGACCCGAACAGCTTCGACACTAGATCCCACATTCTCGATTCCGCAAAATAGTTGATACAATTCTTCATCCTGAAAATGTAGATGTATAAAACAACCATAAACCAACTTTACATAACTTAGCATCAAGGAAGGGAAGAGGGAAGAAAAAGGTTACCTTTACATCAAATGGAAGGTTACCCACAAAAACAGTTCTCTTGGGATCATAGATTGGAGAACTTCCTACTTTCAACTTTTTACGAGGCGGGCATGCCCTATCAACACGTATATGATTTCCTGCGAACTAAATTCACATATATAAAGATCATGAATGGAAATAGCCAAAGCTACAAGTTTCGACTTCGAAAAGCTAAGAAGAAGAAGAAGAAAAGAGAGTAAGAACTATACCACAGCCATGTTATGGGACAGAGAAGCCTGTGCTGATTCCTCCGTTTTGAAAACAACATATGCATGAGAACTGCAAATCATTCATTTTCATCACTAAAAACGGTATATAATGTCTTAATAAGAATAAGCAATCATATCCAGTAATTCTCTCCTAAGGACCTTTCCTAAAATCATGATCTCTTAAAGAACTCTAGGAGTCAAAGCGGCATGCAAGCAAACTGTGCACGCTAAGAGTAAAGGGGAGAGATGTTCGAAATTACTATCACAATCAAGCCACCCCCTATCCTATCTTTCAAACTCTAAAAGGGCCCGTCACCTCGTTCGTACCTTCTTGGCTTAGACTTCCAATTGAACTGACGACCATATAGTATAACCCTAATCAAGTAAGATCATCCTAAAACCACGATCCCTCTCTCTAATTTTGATTCCAAGTGAACAACGATTCAATATCGATACAATTAAGCGACATTTATCACATTCAATTACGTCACATTATGATATAAAAGCATTACCTGTCCGCATCTTCATTGACTTTCTTTGAAAGAATTGCTCCCTTCCTAGGTTTTTTGCTCTGATCAGAGAAAAAGTACAAAATTCTCAAGTTTGAAGATCGATAAATTGAGAAAAACAAAACCCCACGAACTCCAAATTCAAGATAATGAACAAATAGAAAACAATGCTTACATTTGCAAGTGGCACAGAACGGATCCTAACAGATTCTATTTCTCCAAATTGGCTAAACTCCTTGCCTAAAGCCTTTTTCTTCACTTTCAATGGCAAGTTCCCAACAAAAACAGTTCTCAAAAGCTTGCTTTCATCATCAAATCCTTCCTTCGTTACCAACATCTCAGAAAAATCGTCCATGGCTTTCCTCTTCTTCCCAACAACAGTGCCCCCTGAACCTTCCACTTCATCTTCAGCTACTTCTGATGCACCATACTTCTTCGCTTCATACTCTCTCTCCAGTTCGTCTCTCTTCCTCTTCTTCTTCTCTTTCGTTAACTTCACATCCACACCGAGTTTACTGTCACTCCTTTGTTCGTCTATCTTCAATTCGCCGCTAAATTCAGAACCGATTTCCGCACCGTTCCTTTTGTTCTTCTTCACTACGCCTCGGGATTGGAAACCTCTTTCTTCATCATCCTTCTCGATAACTTCATTATCCAATTCCCGGTCCCGAGACTTCTCCTTCCTCTTCGACTTCTTGACTTCCGACGAACTTTTAACACCATTCTCAGCAGAATCCAAATCCATTCCAACCCGTTTCTCCTTGCTCTTCTTCCTACTCTTTACATCATCGATAGTATGATCATCAGCGCCGCCACTGGGAGATTTTTCAGCAACCGCCGCCACAGGAGTTAAACTCGTATCTTTCCTACGAAAAGGGTTGTCAGTGGAGAAGATAGAAACGCCATCACTTTCAGCACCAACGTTGCCGAACAGAGTCTCGAAAACGCTGGAGGGAGCAGAACCAATGGCGACTTCTTCGGAGGAACTTTTGGGGCCGTTGGTTTTCTTCTTCCCCATTACTCTTCTTCTGAGTTAGTTTTCTGCAGAATTCTGTGAATTTACAGGTCGAAAGTAATTGCGGCTAACAATGGAAATTGGAGAAGATGAAATTTGTAGCCCTAGCCTTATTCCGTGTCCGACTGGGAATGATATATATATATATATATATATATTATTATATATTATTATAAAATAAAATAACTTGTTATTATTTGAGTGATTTTTTCAATAAAAAAATAATTTATTCATTTAATCTCTCCATTAATTTAATTTAAGTTATCATTCA